GGGGCAGGGGCTCCGCTCAATTCCGCTCTCGTGCGCGGCGCTTGGAGAGCCGCCGCCCGAAGGGGCGCCCACCTCCGCTCGGTTCCGTGGGCGCCCTCCAGCTTCGCGGGAACTTCTGTCATCGCCTGCAGCCCGGGTGTGGGATCCTCTCCTGGGAGCTGGCTCTTCCTCTCCTCCCTCCCTCCCTGCTTTTCTCTCACCTCAAGTGCACGGAATTGAGTTGTTCACCCTGCTCGGTTCTTGGCACACTGTGGCCCATGTTGTATTTATCATCTTTCGTTCCTTAGTCTCAAACCCCTCTCGCTCCCCTTCCTAGACGCACACACTGGTGTATCGTCAGGGAGTGTTTTTACCGCCCACTTTACCTAGGTTTGCATATATGTTACCTAGCAAAATAGTGGTTCGGAATTAATCTAAATGATAATACGCCGTGAGCTTTTGGAACACTTTTTACCCAACATTGTGTTTTTGAGGTCATGTATGCTGTAGTGATCTAGTTTTCTCCTCTGGGTACACCTGAGTGCATTAGATCCCATTTTGCTTATACATTCTCCTAGTGATGGACACTTCAATGGCTTCCTTTTTTTTTTTTTAGAGAGAGAGAAACATTGATTTGTTGTTCCACTGATTTATGCATTCATCGACTCATTGGTTGCTTCTTATATGTGCCCTGGTGGGAGATCGAACCTGCACCCTTGGTGTCGCACACTGTGACCAACTGAGCTTCCAACTTTTAACCACCACAAACCATGCGGGCACTGGTCTCCTGTGGGTAGGGGTGGTTTTCTCCGATTATCCATCCCATGCTGGGTCATACCTATGCTACTAAATTGTTCTCTGGAATGGTCACACCAGGTTATACTTCCCGAGGGCATTGAGTCAAGGCCCTTGTTTCCCCGTATCTCCCCCCACCCCGGCAAGGTTTGATATTGTTTTTTTTTTTATTGTTTACCGAGTGTAAGGTAGTATCCCATTGTGTTAATTTTCATGTATTAAGCACTTTTTTCTCTCTTTTTGTTAATCCTTACCTGAGAATATTTTTCCATTGATTTTTAGAGAGAGTGGAAGAGAGAGGGAAAGACAGAGAAACATCGATGTGAGAGAAACACATGGACTGGTTGCCTCCTGCACATGCCCTGTCCAGGGCCCGGTCGGGGGAGGAGCCTGCAACCAAAGTACATGCCCTTGACTGGAATTGAACCTGGGACCCTTTGGTCTGCAGGCCGGCGCTCTATCCACTGAGACAAACTGGCTAGGGCAGTGGTTGGCAAACTCGTTAGTCAACAGAGCCAAATATCAACAGTACAACGATTGAAATTTCTTTTGAGAGCCAAATTTTTTAAACTTAAACTATATAGGTAGGTACATTGTTATTAACTTAATTAGGGTACTCCTAAGGCTTAGGAAGAGCCACACTCAAGGGGCTAAAGAGCCTCATGTGGCTCGAGAGCCGCAGTTTGCCGACCATGGGGCTAGGGCATCTGAATTGCCTGTATCCTTTTCCTATTTTTTTATGGATTTCCTGTTTTCCTGACTTGCAGGAATTCCTTGTATGCTCTGGATTTTAACTCCTTGTTGGTTTTACACTGCGCAAATACCTTCTCCAATTCTTTAACTTAATCTTTGGCATTGTATTGAACAAAAATGTTTCATTCTAAGTTAAATTCATTTGTTTCCCCCTTTACGGTTTGTGGTTTTGGGGTCTTATTTAAGAATTGCCGGATCTGGTCCTAGCTGCTTTGGCTCAGTGGATAGAGCACTGGTCTGTGGACTGAAGACCACATGCCTGGGCTGCAGGCTCGATCCCAAGTGGGGGGCATTCAGGAGGCAGCCAATCAGTGATTCTCATCACTTATGTTCCTATCGCTCTCTCCCTCTCCCTTCCTCTCTGAAATCAGTAAAAAAATATTTTTAAAAAGAATTGCCAGCACGCTATCGCTCCAGGGAGCACGCCTGTGCCGTTCCCTTCCCACTCTCCTTTCCCCACATGAGACTTGCAACCAGGGAAGCAATGGTCAGCAGCAGCTCATCCCAGGCTAACCCCCTGAACCTGTCTCCAAAGCCCCCTTCCCCCCTTTTTCTCTGACTTCCCAGCGAACCAACGCAGCCCGGCGTAGGCGCTTCTATTGCTTTTTCTGTGCCCTTCCTTGTTTCACTGCCCTAGGAATGTTTTTGCTGCCATCAATAAATTCTTGCTTGCTTTTCTAAAAAAAAAAAAAGAATGAATTGCCTTCCCACTATATCTTCATTGAGATATTCTACATTTCCTTATATTAACTAAATACTAATGTTACTTTTCACATTTAAATTTTTAATCCATTTGGAGTTGTTAGAGTTTATTTTTGTAAATGATTTAAGGTAATGACCTAAATTTTCCTCCACCATTTTCAATTAATAAGTAATGAATTAATTAACAATTAGAGAAGCTGTGTAGCATAGTTATGAGCACAGATTCTTAGAGCCCGGCTGCCTGTGTTCAAAACCCAGTGCTGCCACTTACCAGGTGGGTGGCAGGGCAAGTGCCTCAGTTCCTCATCCATAAAAAAGGATATAGTCTCTATAGCTTAAAGCTGTGACAATTAAATGGATTCATACATGTAAGATGTGTAGAACAGTACTGGGTACATAGTACATGTCTAATCAGTGTTGACAACTATTAATATTAATATGTTCTTTCTTGTGATGTATCCTCTATTATGAGCCCATGTAAACATAGGTCTATTTTTTTATTTTTGGGTCTCTATTCCATTGCTTCCCCCGCTCCATTGCTGTTTTTGTTCCTGTATTAATAACACATTTTGTCATTACTCCAGTCCTGTAATATATGATATGTCTTTATAACCTGATGACTTGGGTCTCTTCCTCCTCCTTTCGTATTCTTCACAATTGTCCTAAGCTATTCATGGACTTTTATTTCCATATAAAGTTTCTCAGAGAAGTCCTGTTTTTGACTGGTGTGTTAAATTTATAGACTATGTTTGTTAGAAATGAGGTCTTTATAATGTTAAGTCCTGCCAGCTCTTCTTTATTTCACATCCTATAATAGAGTTTTTGGTTTTCCTCCATAATGTCTTATATATTCTTTTTTTAAAGTAAATTCCTGGATAGTTTATAGGTTTTCTGTACTTTTCTTAGTTTTATAAATGACACTTACTTTACATTTTCCAGTTGGTGATAGTTGGTATAGAGTGCTCTTAATATTTGTTTGTTAACCCTCTATCTAGCTTAATTCCTTTTATTAACAACATTTTGTTTACCTATTTGCTTGTGTTTCCTATGTAAATGTTCACTCATCTGCAAATAATGACAATTTAATCTCTTCTCTTTCAATCCTCCTTCCTCATTTCTTTATCCTGCTTTATTCCTTCAGCCAGGACCTTGAAATCCTTGATGAAGTGGGCTTCCTTGTCTTGTTTATGGCCATAAAGAGGATGTGGCTAAAGTTTATTAACTATGTTTTTTTTTTACTGTAAATAACCTTTTATGGCATTATTCAACTTAAAGAAATTTCTTTCTATCCCTGTTCCCACCCTACCATCTGCATGGCTTGAACATTGAACACTCCAACCCTTGGCCCCAGAACAGTGTAGCTAAGCTTGGTATCTGCTCTCTAAGGCTCAACTGCCCTCTTAAATTTCTCTCTGCTTCTCCTTCTATTCTTCAGGCCCAGATTAGATCTGCAGTTTCTCCAGCGGTTCCTGCAGATACAAAAGGTTTTGTTTCCCTCTTGCTCATCACAGAATGCCTTGATGTTCCTGACCCTTTTGGGTGTGGCCCTCCTGGGTGAGTGAGTGGGTCCAGGCTAGACGGGGGAGGGCAGTCCTGGTTTGGGGTCCCTTTCCTTCTCTCTGGGGTGTTGATGAGGCAAGGACTGAAGAGGAAGCCTTCCTCCTTTCCCCACCCCTCATCACTGATGTCTGACTCCTCTCCCTCCCCCCAGAACAACTAGTGATCTACCAGGTTGGCTTGATCCCCAGTCAGTACTACGGGGTCCTGGGAAACAAAGACTTGGATGGGTTTAAGGCCCTGACATTCCTGGCTGTTGTGCTCATCGTTCTCAACTCCATGGTAAGGTCTCCCTGTGTCTCTTTCTCTCCAGCCTGGTGTGAGTGGAGTGCCCAGTGTCACTTAGTCCCTAGGAAGTAGGAATCAAGCTGTGGGTGTGTGTCCCCTGCCTTTTCTAGGAACCCTAGGTAGGGCATTGATCTTGCTATTGGCCCACTGGGGCCAATTCCTCGAGTGTTTCAAGCTCACAGGCCTAGGCCACGAGGTTCTGGTTTTATTCAGCACTTAGCGGAAATGATCATTGTTCTTTTCATTCCCAGAACTCTTGCTTCAGGATCAGCAGCCAGAGCTGCTGTTCCTCTGGGACTGAGGCTGTGACTCAGCTGGCTCCGTGTCACACCTCCCAGCTTTTGCACCTGCTGTTTTCTTGCAGAATGACCTCATTCCCCCACCTCTCGCTTACTTGGTTAATGCCTGCTCACTTTTCAAGGTGCCTCACCTTCAAGTCCTCCTCAGCTTTCTCTCCCATGTTTCCTCCACCAAACTCTGTCCTTTTCTCTTCATGCTTAATACTTTGAATTGCCCTCTGCGGTAACACTCCTGACACCCTCGTCATTGTCTGCTCCCTGGCTAGACTGAGCTCACTGTTACTTCCCCCGTGCTTAGCAAACAGGTGCCACATAAGTGGGGGTGATGAGAGTCGGGGCTCTGTTAGGACTCCGTCAGGCCGTACTGCTCATTTTCTTGGTTCTTAGGGAAGCCATCCCATCACACTTTGGCACTTTTGATGTGTCTTCGGTCAGTAAGTACCTATGTATACAGAGCCCTGTTCCATGTTTTGGGACAGAAAAGTAAGAACATAAATGGAATAGAAAATATTGTTTCCAATCTCCAGAAGCTCACCTACTCTCAGATGAAGGCAGTACACTGTAGAAAGGGACTAGAGGGCCTTGCCTTTGGTAAGCCCTTCGCTGTTTGGTGAAGGAATGAACATGTGGGTGAGTGAGGAAGGAGAAAGTCCCGTGACTGGTGGCTTTAAACAAGAGGAAGTGCTGAGTGGGCAGAGTCATTGGAGTGGCCTGGGCCTGGTCAGCAGATGCTTTCTGAGCTTTGAGCTGAGACCTGCAGGAAGCCATTCTCCCTTTCCCTCCCTTCCCCTGCCTCCCCCACTGCACAGCTGAAGAGCTTTGACCAGTTCACCTGCAACCTGCTGTATGTGAGCTGGAGGAAGGACCTCACCGAGCATCTCCACCACCTCTACTTCCGCGGCCGCGTGTACTACACCCTCAACGTGCTGCGGGATGACGTCGATAACCCGTAGGCCTCCCCGCTCAGTCCTCGCTGCCCTCTGCATGGTTCTATCTACCTGGATCAGCCCCGGAGAGCTCCTGCGGCAGATCCCTTGGAGATTATCCACAGTTACCTGCACATGTTGATAAGAGCCAGGGGGCAGGGTGCTCTGCAGAGGAGGCCTGGACAGGCTGTAGGGCTGAGAACAAGAAGCTAAAAATAGGGGCAGCTCCTTTTGTCCATTTCATATCCTGGGCTTCCAAATCAGGCCCCTCTGAAGAGAGTGTCTTTGCTAGAAAAAGCTAGAAAACCAGCTTTTGGATTTCTAGCAGTAAAAAATTGCTGTCTAGGATTTAAATTGTATACTGTCACCGCCCAGTTAATAGGCTTTATGTTCTCGAAGCCCCAGGTTCGCTTTCTGTAAAATGAGAATACTTCCTATCTCAAAGAATGTAGTGAGGGTGAAAGGATGTTCGTGTAATACACATAGGCAGTGCCTGGGACGGAGCACGTGTCCCACTATAAGATAGCTGTTGTGATTTTACAGGTGAGGAAACGGGCCCAGAGAATGCAGGTGACTTGCCCAGAGTCACATCTCATTGGAAATAGGAGTCAGTGTGGCTCTGGTGGTGCGACGGGACATATGGGGTCTCCTCATACTCATTCCCTCCCCACTCGGCACCCCCCCTCCCCCCACAAGCACTTTTTTTTGCCTGAGATGACCTTTTCTCAGCTCGAGCTGAGCTCTGCAGCAACGATTTTGGGGAGAGTGCTGCTGCTTAACTCCAAGGCCTCTCTCTATGGCTCAACCCATAGAAGCTTCCACAGCCAGACAGCTCAAGTGGAGACAGGCTCATGCTCGTAAAAGAAATGGGAGGAGTGAGATAAATGGGATCGTTTCCCTGATCATCCAGAAACTCAGGTGCTGGGCCTTCCATTGTCCATTTTTCTGAGGAGTAACCTGAGGCACCATAACAAGCAACTCTTCAGAGCCCTATTTAGGACCCTGAGGGTCTCGTTGCTTCTGGAAAACCAGCCCTTGTAGGGGTCCACTTCCTCCAGGGTCACTGAAGGGCAGAGTAACAAGGAACTGTCTTAGTCTCTCAACCCTTGAGCCCAGCTCCCTGGGTCCAGTTACTCTGTGTGGTTGGTTCCAGGGACCAGCGCATCAGCCAGGACGTGGAGCGGTTCTGCCGGCAGCTCAGCAGCATGGCCAGCCAGCTGATCATCTCGCCCTTTACCCTCGCCTATTACACCTACCAGTGCTTCCAAAGGTGAGGCCTCTCCTGCCACCATTCCTCCTCCGCTCCTGACAGGTGTTTCCCCAGAGGCCCCTCGCTCACACCAGCTCTCCCAGGTCAGGGCCCCAAAGAGGCTAGTCTTCCCTTCCTCCCACCTGCATGCCAGTCTTTCTCACAAATGCCGTGGGCCCCGTGGCGTTTCAGTGTCACAGGGATCTGGTGCTCCGACAGCGTAGCCCGGGTACTAGATGCCACCGCACGGGAGCCGAGGCCTCACTGGGTGGCTGAGATCAAACAGGGGCCGCCTGGAAGGGGGCAGGCATCAGGGCCGAGGCCTGCGGGCATATGTGGCGCGCCCCCCCACCATCCCTGTCTCTGCCTTTCAGCACAGGCTGGCTCGGGCCCGTGAGCATCTTCGGGTATTTCATCCTGGGAACCGTGGTGAACAAAATGTTGATGGGGCCCATTGTGGCGAAGCTGGTGCAGCAGGAAAAGCTGGAGGGGGATTTCAGGTGTGTCTCCGGTGTTGGAGGTTTGAGGGCTGGGCACAATGGTTAGGGAATGGGATCTGGAGTAAGGTGCCTGAGTTCAAATCCCAGCTATGCCAGTTGCTAGCATGTGCTCTTGGCTGAGGTCTTAATCTCTCTGATTTTGGTTTCCCACCCTAAAACAGAGATGGTACTGCTGCTTATGAGGGAACTGTGAGGATTAACTGAGATTATACATGAGAAGCACTGAGAACAGTGTCTGGTTGGTTAACATCATCATACCTTGGCCTTCTCAGTGAACCACCTGTTTCAGATGAGCCTATGGATTCATCCCCTACTCTGTGCTTCATGGACGCCTCCTTCAGGCCCAGCCCTGGGAGGAGGAGGTGCTGTGAGCACCTGTCCTCTCTGGAGATAGGCAAGGGGCCACCCTGTCTTCAGGGCTCCTGCCACCCTGCCTAGGCCTGGGGCCCCCCATTCTCTCCCCCCATGACAGTCCACAGAAGGACTGGGGAGAAAGCTGCAGGTTCAAGGTGGAGCTGGACTCCCCTTTGTCTGGAGGTCTTGATCCAGGCCTCCGAAAGGGGCCGGTACTGCCCATTGTAGCACACATTTTCCTTTGGTCTCTCAGGTTCAAGCACATGCAGATCCGTGTGAATGCTGAGCCTGCTGCTTTCTTCAGGTGAGTTTAGTGGGAGTCGTTCCCTCTCCCTGATCAGGGCTGCCAGGGGAGATGGCAGAGAAGGAGAGCTGAATGGTACAACCCTCCCACCATCACCGGGCCCTGGGGGCAAACGCCCTTCCACTGGGCTGTGATCCTCTCCCCGCATCTCACTGTCCTTGTCTGCCTCATCCTTTTGTTTGTTTGTTTGTTTTGCCTCATCCTTTTTAAGCCCAGGGATTTGTTCCTCTCCGTGACCTAGCATGGGGCCTACATTTGTTCCAAGGATGAAATGAGCGAATGCCTTCTCGTCCAAAGCTGCGCTGTAGTCTAGGCGGGAGTGGGAGCCTCAGGAGGTTGGGAGTCCTGCTCCCTACACGCACTGTCCAAGTGAAGCTGTGTTCGGTCTCCTGGCAGGAGCATTGTGAAATCCCATTTCTTCCCTCAGGGCCAGGGAAGGCCTGTGCTGCCTCCTATGAGGCCGCGGGAGTCATTGGCAGGCAGGCCAGAGGTTTGTGTGTAAGGAGGGGAGCTGTCTTGGATCACCTGGACTCGAGCCCTGGGACCTTCGCCCTTCTGCCAGTCTCTAGCAGTTTTCAGCTTCCACCACCTGGGGGCGCCAAGAATACAAGGACTGAGCTGGGGTGTGGTAGTGTGGTGGGGTGGGTCTGTGCTAAGTTTTGGATTCTGCAGCTTCTGCTCATGAAGCTTTGGGCTCTGGGGGAAGCAGGTTGGTTCTTGGAGCTCTGGGTGTGTGCGTTTGTAGCCTCTGTGCCCATCTTTATGTAAAATCTGAATGCCCCCTCTGCCCACCCCACCTTTTCTGCCTGTCCTTGAAGCCCAGGTCACCTCCTCCCGAGAGCCTTCCTAGGCTGCATGAGTGCCCAAGCCTGTTTGTTGCCAGAGCTTGAAGACGCTCTGTGTACGCACTTTCCATGTTCCAGGTGAAGAGGGCAGAGCATCTGCCCACCCCTGAGCCGGGACTGTCTTACCGCCTCTGTCACACTGGCTGACTGGCACGGAGCCTGCCACCTAGTGTCCTCCTCCTGTACTTTCCTTTAACAATAGCAGCTGTTATCTGTTGGGGTCCCTTCATGTGCCTAGCCCTTCGTATTCAGAAATTCTCACTCTAGCCCAGGGGTGGGCAAACTTTTTGACTCGAGGGCCACAATGGGTTCTTAAACTGGACCGGAGGGCCGGAACAAAAGCATGGATGGAGTGTTTGTGTGAACTAATATAAATTCAAAGTAAACATCATTACATAAAAGGGTACGGTCTTTTTTTTTTAGTTTTATTCATTTCAAACGGGCCGAATCTGGCCCACAGGGCCGTAGTTTGCCCACAGCTGCTCTAGCCTATTAGGTAGGTTATTACAAACTCCATTTTACAGATGAGAAAATTGAGGCTCCTAGGCTTAAGTAATCAGTCTATCACCCAGCTAGTAACTAACCAGAGCCAGCGTTTGAACCACGTCTGGCCAATCGAGAGTTCAGGCTCTTTCTGCAGATAATACCATGTTGAATGAGTGAAGCAATGAGTGGGTGCTAGTGTTAGGGTCAGAGGTGAAGGTCATTCGGATGAGCTTAGTCCCCAAAGGAGGGTGTGATGAGGGACAGAGGGTCCCCAGCCTGGCTGAGGCTCTCCAAACCCCATGGACATTCTAGCCTTTCTCATCAGAGCTGGGCATGTGGAGCACATGAGGACAGACCGCAGGCTGCAGAGACTCCTTCAGACCCAGAGGGAGCTGATGTCCAAGGAGCTCTGGCTGTACAGTAAGTAGAGGGAACCCGGGAGGCAGGAACCACAGGATCGGGATAGCCCCCTCCTCTCCCCTTCCCTCCCACTTTTCTCCACACGGATAGGTTTGCTCTGCTGAAGGGATTAGCCAGGGGGAGCCACTGCCTTCACCCTGTGTGTCCTCAGGAGCATGAAGATCCAGGGAGTAGCTTGGTCCTGCTCGGCTTTCCACTCCCCTCAGAGCACAGGAATGTTCCAGGATCTCACGCAATATGTCTTCCACAGTGGGTATCAACACGTTTGACTATCTGGGGAGCATCCTGAGTTATGTTGTGATCGCAATCCCCATTTTCAGTGGCGTTTATGGAGACCTTAGCCCCACAGAGCTCAGCACCCTGGTCAGCAAGGTGAGAATCCCTCATGATGACCCCTCACGCTGCCTCCCCGCCCCTTGGCCCAGGGCCTAGAGCCTGGGGGTCAAGGCCTGTGCTCACTGCTCCCCGTTCCATCCAGAATGCCTTCGTGTGCATTTATCTCATCAGCTGCTTCACCCGGCTCATCGACCTCTCCACCACTCTCTCGGATGTGGCTGGTTACACCCACAGGTGAGGCGGCATCCCACCTCTAGCTTCTGAACAAAGCTTGTGCACTGGGAGAAGTGGCTGAATGAGAAAAGGAGCAGAAAAACTCCCATTTCCTAGTGAGCATGAGAGAACAAGGCTTCTTACCTTGACCTGGGCCCCAAACCCCTGCCTCGGGTTTTCACTTCTTGCCCAGGATAGGGGAGCTTGAGGAGACCCTGCTGGACATGTCCCTGAAGTCACAGGACGGCGAGCTCCTGGACGAGGGCGAGTGGGACTCACACAGGTGAGTACTCGGTGGCAGTGTGTGCGCTGGTGAGAATTCAGGCTCTGGGACTGCCCAGCTGGGCAGCAGAGTTGTGTGGAGCAAATGAAAGAAATGTGTGGCTTGTGCCTGGCACGTTGCAGACATTTACAATAGGTGGTGCTCCTCTGGCATTCCTTGTGTTAATTTCCACCGTCCCCCAGCTGGGAAGCAGAGTGCACACACCTGCCTGGGCCTGAGATAAAATCTGAACAGTAGCCTCCTCTTCCTTTTTCCCTCTTCCTCTCACTAAGCCCTGCCGCCTGTCCCTTTCCTCCAAGTGTGGTTACATCCTGAGATACTAGGGATTCGGAGTTTAGCATGTGATTTTGACGACAATTCAGCCCATAACCCCAACCAAGAGGTGACCTCCCCAAGGAGAAAAGCTTGCCCTTGGCAGTGCTGACGCTGGGTCTTCCCCACCCCCTCCCTTCTCTAACCCCAGGGCCCCGGGATGGCCACCAGCAGAGCCAGCGGACACAGCTTTTCTCCTGGATCGGGTCTGCATCTCCGCGCCCTCCTCTAACAAGCCCTTAATCAAGGATCTGAGCCTAAAGATCTCCGAGGGGCAGAGCCTGCTCATCACCGGCAACACGGGCACCGGCAAGACCTCCTTGCTCCGCGTGCTGGGTGGCCTCTGGGCGAGCACACGGGGTGAGAACCAGCCTCCAGCCCTGAGCCAGCCTAGGCTTGGCGGGTGTGTGTGTGTGTGTGTGTGTGTGTGTGTGTGAGAAACCCAGCCTTTTTTGTTGGGGCAAAGGGGTGAGAAGCCGTTACCTTCCCTGGGAGATCTCTTAATGGAGGTTTCATGGGCTCAAACTGGGACCTCTGGCAGTGTGCAGGCCTCAGCCCTAGGGAGCTGTGGCACAGAAGGTGGGGTAATAAAATGGCCTGTGCCCAGGAGCTCCCTGGCTCTAAGAATACAGGGGTGGCCAAAAGTAGGTCTACGGTTGTGTCGGTTTTCAGTTGTAATACACATAATACATACAGTGATTAATGACTAATAATACAAGAATAAACCCCATGTTTTAGGTACTCACAACTGTAAACCCACGTTGCCCACCCCTGTATTTTATTCACATCCATGAGCTGGGCCATCTGCTCAGAGCACCTCCGGGACAGGTTAACCTGTGGGGGCTGCGACCGAGAGAGCACAGCGTCTGCTGAACACCAGGGTGGCTTCTGGGGGCCCTGCCCTCAGGAAACGCACAGACTCTTCCCTCCTTCTGGAGATTGCCCTGGCCCACTGTCCACCCGCCTGGCCTCTCCCACTGGACCCTTGGCCGGGGTGTCCCTTACTCTCCTCGGGTGGATAGGAGCCTGGGTGGTTCCTGGGGCTGATTCTGAGGGAGGGTGGGCTGTGTGCAGCCCCAGCGTGGCCTGGTCCTAGGCCAGCGTGCTTTCTGTTTTATCAGGTGATATACCCCCTGAAGGAGATCTACCCGGACTCAGGTGAGCTGGCCTCCTCGGGGCCTGTTCTCCCACTTCGGTCGTTCCTGCTTTTCTGACTGCGGGCTCACCCGTGCCCTCTGGGAGGGGCCCCAGCCAGGCTGCGGGGTTCAGGTTGGGTCCCCTCCTCCTCGACTGTTTACTCGTGGGGCCTGTGCCCTGACCTCATCTCGTCCGTCTTTCCCTCCGGGAGGAGAGAACCCACTGGAGGAAGGGAGGCGATTGCTTCCTTTGCCTGAACCTTTCCTTCCTAGGCCTGTAGCCTGGCCCTCCAGAGCCTCAGCCCAGATCCTGGTCCCCCTCCCCTGCCCCTTGCCATGACGTGCCCATCTATCCTGGCTGCCCAGGAGGCGCTGACTTCTGAAGGAGGCCTGTCTGTTTTGCAGGTTCTACTGATGATGAGAGGATCATGAGGTTCTTGGAGTTAGCAGGCCTGGTAAGTGAGGGAGGACCCTGAGGTCCAAGGCCGCCTGGTAGCACTGATCACTAGCCCAGGACTCGAAGTATGAGCCTGGGGCAAGGAGAATGGGAGTAAAAGTGGCTGAGGGAACTGTGGGCCAGATAACGGGCAAAACGGGGGCACACTCAGTAGTGAATTTTATAATAATAATGAAACTATTATTTCTTGTCACCATGCTCCCACACGTCTAAACAATGTAGTTGATAGGTTATTCCTCTCTGCCCGGGGCAGACTGCCCCCACCTTGGTACGCCGGTGGGGTATGGTCTGTCTCCGGCACGTGTGTGGAGGGGACTGAGGGGGTTCCTCAGGGAGCAGGATGGGCACTTTCATGGACATCGCTTCCTCTGGGTGTGTTACAGTCCGACTTGGTGGCGAGGACAGAGGGGCTGGACCATCAGGTCGATTGGAACTGGTAAGAAGGGGGTTGGGATGCTCCAGAGCCATTTCCCCCAAAGACAGTGGGTTCTAGGGGTCCATTGAAGGGATAGAATGGCTCCTTGACCCCAAAGTCTAGGTTTCATGCCTTTGGGAGCAGAGTTTTAGCCTCACCTTGTGTGGGCAGCAGGGCTGTGATTGAAAGTGGAGGTGACGTCCATCTGTCCTGGGTCTGCCTCTCTGTAGCAAGAACAAGAACCTCTTCCTGCCTAGACCCAATCTAGGCAAAGGCCAGACTGTATACTCCTTCCTCCAGTGGTCCTCTCATTCCCTGTCCTCAGGTATGACGTTCTGTCCCCCGGAGAGATGCAGAGGCTGTCTTTTGCCCGGCTCTTCTACCTGCAGCCGAAGTACGCAGGTGAGGTCTGCCCTGTAAGTGTGCATGCGGTGCTGTGTGTGCCCACAGGTAGCAGCGTGTGTTCATGCACACCTGGGCAGGGTTGGTATCGTAGGAGAGCTCGCCTGTATGTGGCGGGCATGTCTGTCCCTGCAGGAGAGGATGGCAGGTCTCTGCCCATGAGGCAGCAGTGCTTGGCATCAGAGTGGCTCTGGTTGTGTGCTTTCTGCCATCGCTGCAGCTGGAGCTGCCTTGAGAGAGCTTGTGATTTATGCTCTGCCAACCATGAATGGGCATCCCCCCAGCTGTGCCTGGCAGAGGGATGGCAGGCGTGGATTTTTCCAAGGACTGACATCCTGTGGGGAAGCAGGATTCCCTGGATCGAGTGGTCCCAGGCCGTGTCTGGCGCTGATCTATAGGAAGCTGAGGGGCTTTGTCCTTCTGCTGGCTGAACGCTTTTGAGATGGAGCTTGGCCGCTGCTCGGTTGGCCCATCCTCTCTAAGGCTGGTTCCCATAAGCCAGAGCAGTTTTCAGCCTCCCTCTGGGTCCCCGCCGGAGGTGACTGTGGGTTGAAGGAGAAACAGGCAGGCAGGGGCAGTTCTCCATCTCTTGCCACCGGGTTCTGCCCTCAGTGCTTGATGAAGCCACCAGTGCCCTGACTGAGGAGGTGGAGAGTGAACTCTACCGCATCGGCCAGCAGCTAGGCATAACGTTTATCAGCGTGGGACATCGGCGCAGCCTCGAGAAGGTACCTGTGCTCACAGGATGGTTGAGAAGGAGGAAGAACCCAAAGGCTGAGCCTGGCTGGGGCCAGAGGCCCCTCAAAATGGGGAATGGGGTGGCAGAGGACAGGGCGTCAGTGGCCTCATGTTGTGATGCCAGGGCAGCCTGACCTCTGCATGGTGGTGATCTCTTGTAGTTTCACTCCTGGGTTCTGAAACTCTGCGGAGAAGGAAGGTGGGAACTGACCAGAATCAAAGTGGACTGAAGCCAAGGATGTGGCTGGCCACTGAAAGGAGAGCCAAGCTCGGGGCGTGGCAGTGCCCAGGAGACACCCAAAGGCCCCAGGTTCGTCTCACAGGTTCTTTGCAGGGAGCGCTGGCAGTAGTGGCCCACCTAGGTGTGGCCTCCATGGGGTGCTAGTCCTGCCAGGCTTCCTGCTACCTCAGCCAGGGTGCCAGACATTTGAAGTGCTAATTATTTCCTTACAAATTACTTCAGATTTGTTTTCTAAAGAAAAACCTAAAAGTGAGGACTCGATAAGCAATGAAGGATCAATGTGGAGAGAATGTTGGACTTGGAGTCAAGAGATTCAGAAATCTTTTTAATTGGTTGAATTATACAACAGGTTTTTAACTTGAATCAGCTATTTAAATTTTATAACTTTTTTTATATAAAATATAAACATTAAAAATATTTACAACTTTCCCTCTTTCTCTTTCTTCTCTATTATAAGATGATCTTTTTAACTGAATTTCCAGACTTGTATTTGAGAGCCTAGAGAGAAGGGAGCAGCATTCTCCACCACACTGGCATCTTCTGTTCTTGGCTTTTCACTTTATTCCGTGTCACCCCTTTTCCATTTGCCAAGTGTTCCTGAGGCACTAACCTTTGGGGCACTTTCTGTTGTTCGTTTGTTTGTTTGGTTGGTTTGATTTTTGTCTTATCCCTCAAAAAAATAAGGTTGAGATTTTTTAAAAAACTGTGTTAGGGAACAACAACAACCAGTTGAACAGAAAAAACCCTGGAATCACAAAAGCATGAGATGGACAATTATTAAACCCAAAATCCTTATTCTAGAACAATATTCTATTCCCCAGAATTCACTTGTCAGATTGTAACCTTCATGATTCTTGCCAGAACGCTATACTTGTTTTTTTTTTTTAGTTTTTAAAAAAATATGTATTTTTATTGATTCGGAGAGGAAGGAAGAAGAGGAAGAAAGAGAGAGAAATAATCAATGATGAGAGAGAATCAATGATCAGCTGCCTCCTGCATGCCCCCTTCTGGGGATCAAGCATACAACCTGGGCTTGTGCCCGACTGGGAATAGAACCATTACCTCCTGATTCATAGGTCAACACTCAACCACTGCCGGGCAACTCTGTACTTGTTGTACTATTAATTACTTAAGTTTTTTTAAAAAATTAGCTCAATTTTTACATTTAAATTTAATTTTTAAAGAAAGTTTACACTTGATGTAAATAGAAAGTAACTCTAAAAATGAATCCAGTGAAAACCATAGTGTTATGAAATTGCAGCTCCATATGATGGTCTACAAAGACTGAGCCTAGGCCTGAGTCTTGCCCTCTGTATGAAAGGAGTTTAAGGGATATCATAGGAGTTAGACATACTAGCACCCAAATGAGATATTTCTCCTTCAGAAAATTTGAAAGATGGAGTGGGAACTAGGGTAGTAACTTTCTCAATATAAGACTTGAGGTTCTTTAGCCCTGGCTGGTGTTTCTCAGTGGTTAAAGCTTCGGCCCACACACCAAAGGGTCGTGGGTTCGATTCCTGGTCAGGGGCACATACCTGGGTTGAGGTTCAATCCCTGGCTCTGGTCAGGGTGCATGCAGGAGGTATCCAGTCATGACAATCTCACCTGGATGTTTCTCTTTCCGTCTCCCTCTCCTCTCTTCCCCTCCCTGCCTTCCCTCCACTTTCTCTAAAAATCAATGGGGAGGGGAAAAAAGAGACAAGGTTATTTAATGCCTTATTGGTACCACTGAAAATGATCCTAGATGTGGGTTGGGAGTACAAGACTTGGGGAAATGCAGCCCTGGGTAACTGAAGTCTCACCCTCCTGGCTTGACTAGCATGTAGGCCTTGGCACTGTTCTTACTCAGCTCCACCCTGCAGTGGTGCTAAAGCAGTGTGTTCAAACCGACAGGTCAGAGAGCGTGACTGTGTGTGTTAGGGACTCTAGAAAGGCACATACATGGCCACAAGGGGATGCATGCTCAGAAAAGACCTGAGAACGACCTAAGCTTTCACCTTTGCGTGGGCTCTGGACTCAATCCAAGCAGACGAAGGCAGAGTTATAAACAGCCTGGCTAAGTGTTAAAGGAGTGCCCCAGCACAGAGCCAGTCAGTAAAGACTGGGAGATGTGTTTTCTTTTGTTTGTTTTCAGTTCCTGTTATTCAAGGAAATCTTTGTCAAAATACTAGCTGAACACATTTCAAGTGACTACATGTGACAGGGATGATAAGTCTTTGCTAAAATATTTTTGGAATGTGTCCAAATGAACAGATGACTGTAATAAAAACAAACAAAAAACAGCATACCCTGGGGGAGGGGAAGAAGCTGTTTTTCATAGTTACCATATTATAATATGTAAATGTCCAGTTTTCAACAAACAAAACCCACTCAAAGGGAAAAAGATCAACAGAAACTATTCCTGAGGAAGCCCAGATGTTTGACTTACTAGACAAAGACTTTAAATCAACTGTCTTAAATATGCTCAAATAGCTAAAGGAAACCCTAGAGCTGGTTCTAGCTCTGGCTCTGGTGCTAGAGCTGGCAACTAGCTGTGGACCTAGCACTGGCTTTAGTGCTGGATTTGATGCTACCAGCACTTCTAACTCGAACTGGCATTGGCCAGAAATCTATAACTGGCACAGGTTCTGGAGCTGGAAGTATAGCTGGGTGTGACCCTGTAGCTGGTTGCTAGAGATGTCCAAGAACAGGCTCTACCTCTGAAGCAAATTCTAGCCCTCACTGGTTGTTAGAGCTGGGGCTGAGCTGGTACTTATCATTGGATCTGGCTCTGGAGCTATTGCTATGGCTAGTGTTGGTATTGGCTCCAGTTCTGGAGCTGGCTCTAGTCCTAGAGCTTGTTCCAGCTCTGGCTGTGATGCTAGAGCTGCTTCTAGTGCTGAAGCTGACACTCAGTATGGCTCTAGCTTGAGGGTAGGGGCTAGAGCTAGCCCTGGATCTAGCTCTTGCTCTGGAGCTGGCATTAGCTCTAGCTCCAGAGCTGGTGCTAGAGTAGGTACGAGACCTGTTTTTAGCTCTAGAGCTAGAACTAGGGCTGATGCTGGTGCAGCTCTAGCTTTGGTACTGATGAGTTCTGAAAATGGCACTAACTATAGAGCTGGCACTGAAGTTGAATGTAGCTCTAGCAGGCTCTACAGCTGGTGATAGAACTAGCACTGGAGCTGGGCTTAGGCTAGGGCTGGCTATAGCTATGAAGCTGGTACTGGAGCTTGTTCTAGCTCTAGAGTTGACTCTGGCTGTAGGTCTACAGTTGGAGCTGGTGTAAGCTGGCACTGGAGCTGGCTCTGGAGAAGTTGGACACAGCACTCCAGGTCCAACCCAGGCAGGTTGGAGTACATGAAGGCCATCAGCTGTTTCAGGCAGAGAAAGTCTGGAGGCTGAAAGGAATTTTCCAAGAACTGGTCCAACCAGATACCTAGGATGAAAAAGATGGCCCTGGGGGTAGATGGGCAGGGAGCAGAGTCAGAGCCCTGGCTTTTCTTTCCACACTGCCTCCCTTAGCACCTCTGCAGAGGGTTGGACTGGCACTGCCCATTCAGGGACCAGCCCCATTCCATCCCCAAACCTACTCTGGCTGTCCAGGCAGTAGCAAGCCTGGTCACCAAGGAGGAGGAACCAAAGTTCCTCCATCCTAAGGCGCTCTCCATAATGTCTGACAATTCTCCCCTCGGGGGAGCCTGGCATCTTCCTCCCTGGCCCCCTTGCTCACTGGAGTGTAAACTCCGTGAGGGCAGGCAGGCCTGTGTCTGTGTGTGCACAGTGCTGGCACACAGTAACTATCTAACGGAGAAGGGACAGTCTGTCCTGCCCCAGCCTTCCCGGGGCCCTCAGGTCACTTTAGTCTGTAGTGTGTGCGCCAAGGTGCGGCCTCACTCCCTGCTCACCATTTGTGATCACATCTTCCCATTGACACTCGTTCCAAAGGGCAGGGGCGCAGCCCTTCCTGGGCCGTCATGCAGCTGAACATGCACAACCGAGGTTCAGAGCTGATTTGTGAGCAGTCAGCTCACCGTACCTCCTGTTGAAGGGGGAGGGAAGATAAGCAGAGCTGTGCAGGGGACGTACTGGGTCTGTCTGATACTTCCTCATGATAAGGGTTAGGTTATGCAATCTAATCACGAGGAAACACCAGACAAACTCAAATGGATGGCCTTGGGGGCAGCGGTATAGTGTCAGCAATAAAAATAAAGCTCTAAAAAACTAGCTTGAAATCTTCAAAGATGGCACAGTCATGGGAGGCAAGGAATGACTGACTGGACTATTCCAGATTGGAGGAGACTACGGTGACTCAGCAACTAAATGGGTGCGTGCTCTAAAAAACTAGCTTGAAATCTTCAAAGATGGCACGGTCATGGGAGGCAAGGAATGACTGGACTATTCTAGATTGGAGGAGACTACGGTGACTCAGCAACTAACTGGGTGCGGGGTCCTGGATTGGGTCCACCACTTAGAAAGGACATTATTGGAATGAGCAGCATTCTCTGGAGTAGATGAAAGCATTGAATCAATGTCAATGTCTTGATATTGGTTGTATAGAAGTTATGTGGGCGAGTATCCTCGTTTTAGGGAAAGATACACTGAAATATTAAGGAGTAATAGCACATCATGTCCTCAACTTGCTCTCTAATAGCTTAGAAAAGTAGTAATATCTATAAGGAGAATAATAAGGCAATGTAGTAGCTGTTCATTTTAAAATTAAAAGATCACAGCAATTCAAAATTAACAGTTAAAAAAGAAAGTAACTACTAAAAGAATAAGTCCTTCCCACTGCCACCTCTGCCATACCAGGTGGATGGCCTGCATGCCCTCAGGAGAACTTGGCATTCTTCCAGCCATATCTGGAACCAGCAGGAACAAAAGGCTAGAAGAAAAATTAACATTTTCCTGGTTTCTGAAGTTGAATGTAGCTCTAACCCGGCGGTTCTCAACCTGTGGGTCGCGACCCCTTTGGCGGTCGAACGACCCTTTCACGGGGGTCGCCTAAGACCATCCTGCATATCAGATATTTACATTACGATTCATAACAGTAGCAACATTACAGTTATGAAGTAGCAACGAAAATAATTTTATGGTTGGGTCACCACATGAGGAACTGTATTGAAAGGGCCAGAAGCTTGAGAACCAGTGCTCTAACCAAACATAATCACTCCTCAGGCCTCTGCTGCTTACTTGGCATTTCTGAATAAAGAGGACAGAACTGGAGAGGAAGGTGTCGGTGGTAGGAGGGGGTTGACAAGAACCAAGTGAAATAAATCCAAGCAGATAGCCTGATGTCAGAATTGGGGGAAGTATTCCAGCGGGGAGCTAGGTGGGCAGTGGAATGAGAGGTAATCATGTTATTCAGATTTTACAGCCCCTACTAGTTGGCAAAGAGCTTTGCAACTTCTGGGGAAATGGTGGGCTAGGATGGTGAAAAAAATTCCCAGTAAGATCAGCTAGAGATGACTAGAATATAATAAAAAAAAGGTTCATCTATAACTGAACTAGGAAACCAGAAGGGCAATCCCAGGCATGAGAGCCAGAACGGTGATGGGAGTGACAACATTGGCGACTTGCATTTTTGTTTGTTTATTCCTCACCAAGGATATGTTTTCATTGATTTTTAGAGAGGGAAAGAGAAACATCTATTGGTCGCCCCCATACGTGCCCTGGGATCGAACCCACAGCCCATGCATGTGTCCTGACCAGGAATCGAATCTGTGACCCTGTGGCACACAGGACGACGCTCCAACCAACTGAGCCACACCGGCCAGGGCAGAGCTTGCATTTTATTTTATTTTTTAATATGTTTTTATTGGTTTTAGAGAGAGGAAGGGAGAGGGAGAGAGAGAGAGAAACATCAATGATGAGAGAG